TATGAAATAGGAACAATGTGGATGCCAAAATTGATCCATGCGGAACGCCATTGATGGCAATGATATCAGACGAACAACACATGAAGCGATCTGTGGCATAGCTGAGGTGATGAGCCGTATGATGATAGTTTGTGGAGGAGTCCTTGCATGGTGCCAGACATGGTCGAATGCCTTCGATATATCTAACGTCACAGCTAGAGATTCCCCATGTTCTTCTTATGAAGCTTGCCATACATGGGTGACATGGGCAACTCAATATCTAGTTGATTTTCAGTACTGGCGAATGCCATAATATTGTCTATCATAATTGATTCCCGAGCGGTCTAGATATTTAATGAGCTCAATGGAGATGACTTGCTAACAGCTCAATTGACCAATAGTTGTTCGGCAGGCTTTTGTTCTTTTTTTTAATTAGTTGGAATCTAGCTTCTCCAGCAAGATGGAAAATCATCCGACCTGTACAAGATGGTGAATAACTTGCAGAAAATCGGTGTCAATTCTGCAAATAATTGGAAACAATTGGTGGATATCCATCAGGCCCGTTAGCCTTATTCGTTTTGAGACCGAGCAGAATGCGTCTGATAGTGCGTTAACGAAAGACGATATCGTGCATTCGACTATCAACGGGTGAAATGTCTGTACTCTTTCCTGGGAATAATGGGGAGTTCGCTGCGATCATCTCTTCAGAGATGTTTGCTTCATTGAGTTCATTAGCACCAATTTATAATTATTAGCTTTCAGAATCCAGCTGGACTCCTAAGGGTAGAAACGTTTCTTTGGCGTTTCTCGAAAAAGGTTGGTATATTTCAAACATATATCACTCAGAATCTATCGATTTTCAGTTTTATAGTAATCGGAAGAATAATATCAAGCGCTTCTTTTATATATACAGGTCTCTCCACTTACCCTTATAACACAATAACATCTGTAAGACGTCGTAGAAACATCCATATGGGATGATAGGAACATCTCTGGAAAATCCCTATTTTCCTTGGGACATTCTTGGGATGTTGCTGGCAACACCCGTGTCAGCATTTGCGATGTCTTATAAACATCCCATCAGAATGTTTGTGGGATGATACGGGATGATTGTACCAGAGACATTCAGGGTACTTGATATGAAACATCTTAAAGAAACTTTCAGGATGTTTTTTGTTTGATGACAGTAATGGATGACACGGTATGAATTATTTTCAATCTGAAATCCTGAAAATGGCCGACCTATTTCCAGATATTGTTTATAAAAAAAATATCAAATGGGATGTTTCTAGAACATCCACTGAAAACATCTGATGGATGTCCCGAGAGAAACATCTCTCTGGGATATCGTATCTAAGTCTGAAACATTGGGACATTTGTAGAACCTTAGCGGGATGTACCAGCAAGATCCCGTGTTGTTAGGAAAGAGCATTGAAAATACTGATGCTAGTTTTGATAATTTAAACAATGTTGTTTATTCAATTATAACAAAGTTACCTATGGTGGACACTCAATTTGGATAACCCTGATGAACTTAGGTTGTAGATACCTTCACGTTTGTAGTGTTTCATGTCTGATTGTTTTCAGTACCTATAGTGGTCGACGGAGTTTCATCTGACTCTTTTATAATAAATGCTGGATCCGCAAGGATCAATTCTAGCACCAAGTCTTTTTCTACTCCATATCAACGATTTGTTGGAAGCAACTTCATGTTCAGTACACAGCTTCCCGGATAATAGTACCCTCCATACCGACTTCTCTTCCATTCTGTGCTTTCGACCAATTTTTGATGAATGAAGAAATATGCATGGAAAATGTCACTCACATCCGATCGATTATGGTATTTTTGATACCCAGGATGCACAGGTTAGTGAAATGACGTCATAATGACGTCTTTCCCAAGTCATTATTGGTCCATGACGTCATATTGACGTATATAACTGGAGGTCATAAAGACGTCCCAACAGAGTCAACTTTCTGTTATTCTTGAACTGAACCTATTGAGCTCTTGTGATATTTCCTCCAGAATTTTTGCAATGAAATCTGAATCCCCCTCATCAGAAGATTGCGAAGGAATGTTGATAATTTTATCTTTCTAGTGTACAAAAGTGAAAATGTCACTCATACTCCAATAATTATTGATTCACACACACAAAATAAATGCTAGAACATGATCTTTAGTGGTTTTGATGAATATATTGACAGGTTTGAGATATAGGTATGGAGAATAGGTACCTACATCAAATACCCAGGTAGAACAGTGACCTAAGGAGACGTCATAATGACGTCGTTTTTTCGTCCAACATTCTTCCGTCCAACCAGAGGAAGAATCAGTAGTTTACTACCTTTTCATCGTCTATTCTACGAAATTTGAGTTTGTATATACGTTTTTCTATAACGTGGAGCTTCATTTGCCTACAGTCGGTTCTCACAATGTTCTCTGAATATTACAGGATACCCCTTTTTGTGGGAACCAGAACATAAAAAAAAATCACCTTACATCGCGCCGACGCTCGCTACATAATTTTAAATACAAAATGTATATGAATAGCTATAACGTTACATTCGCATACACTCACACCCGGAGGCACCAAGTCATCAATGCCTGTTTCTATAAAGCCTTCAATATATACCCTGGAATTTTTTTAGTTTAGTAGCTTATAGGTTATTCTGAGATATAATTTTGATGTATAAATATGACGTATTATGACTGTGACATCTTGACGTCTTCAAGACTTCCTTTTTTGACGTCATATGGTCAGTTTTGTGAACAAATTAGGACTTCATTTGGACGACACTGTGCTACCTGCAATTATTTCGATATTGGTGTAATGAAAAATTGTTTTGAGACTATAATATTGATAATAGGTATTTTCAAGCTTGAATTCACCGGTGAGGAGATAATAATCGATTTTGGGCATCATCAATCCATTTTCCTCCATATTTCCGCTTTCCCACTCAAAACGTCATGAGATTCTATCAAGGGTCTTCCTGAAAGATGTTCAAACAAACTGAAAAAGGTCTCGTTCAGTAATTATAAATGTCCGAGTCAAAACCTAATTTTACTGGGGTAATGCGCGAAGAATATAAGCTCAATCGTGATGATGGGGGTGCATAATGCTTGAATGGTACAGCATGTTGGGTACTTTCCCTATTTCAAGTTAAAAAAATATACGTTAAACGGAGCCTACAATCAACTGAAAGGAATAGGAGCTCGAAATTCTCGCAAACCAATACCTCAATCAACGGTTATACCCTCCCTTTCCCTTCTGCCAATGAAATGGTTGTTGTTGACATGTTACCATACTGCACTCTTTAATAAGACGGATTTTGTTATGGATATCAGAAAGGAGGTATTCTTGGGCGACTGTTGGAAACATAGCTGCAGAGAGGGATATGTTCACTGCAAATTTCACATAGTAGAGCTCTTCCACATCAGACAGTAAAGTTCGTTTCTTCAAGAAATGCGTAGATTATGAATTATTTGCGAAAACCGACAAAGAACGCTATTTTCCGCAAAGTACGCATATTTGGTCAATTTTCAACTTGCTCTAGATTCTCACCCGTTAGTCTTACATTCATGAGCAAGAAGAATTATATGTATATATAAAATTTCATCTACTATCTCCAACTTTCTATGGGGTGGTCTCTTTGATAAAAAGCAAACTTTCCGCGTTACGTGCAAAAAACTGAGAAAAAGTGCGAATAATTAGCGTCTGCGGACAGGCGGAAGTAATGACTGCGTGGTGGGAGAACGTTATAGTGGGCAGTAGATGCGACTGGCGTTATGCGGCGCCAACTGAATGACTTCATCATACTTCGTCTCGTAAGCAACTGGTTGGCTCAGTAAGCAGAGCATCGGCATGCCAAGCCGGTGGGCCGGGTTTCGAATCCGTGCGAGGTTCATCTTTTTTTTATTTTTTTCTTGTTCTCAAGTGATTTCTAAAAAATATTCTCTATGGGAAATAGGTTCATTTAGGGGTTTTCTATGTTTAGGCCAGAGGTGAGGTTCGGTTAGGTTAGGTTAGAATAGAATATTTTATTTGGTGTTAATACAAGTACAGATATACTCATAAATAGTATATGTACCGCCGAAGCGAGTACATATACTAAAAATGTGGAACGCTTTACGATTTTGCGTGTCATCCTTGCGCAGGGGCATGCTAATCTTCTCTGTATCGTTCCAATTTTTAGTATATGTACCGCCTTCTCATTTTTTATGCAGAAACAATATTTTCCTTCCTCAAGAAAAATTCTCCTTCTTCAAGAAAAATGGTTCATCTAGGTCGATTGATTGTTGAAAAAAAATTCCCTCCTTATATTAGACTCGACACAAGTTAACTAACGTTCCCCTACCACGGAGTTATTACTTCCGCCTGTCCGCAGACGCTAGTGTGCGAATATCTTGCAAACTTCAGCACCAAAAAAATCATGTGTTACCTCAGAGAAACCGACTAATACTCATTTTTTCGACGAGAAAATACCATTATATTATACCATTATACTATACACTCTGTTCAGAATAAGGATGAGATCGTTTTTATTTTTTACTGACGATATATTTAGAGAGATATAGGAAAACAGAAGATATTGTCTTCTTGCCACTTTTCAAGCTATAACTTTACACCATGATAGACATCCTTATCTTGAACACACTGTATATCGCGTATTCGAAACCGTTTGAAATAAATAATAGTGATGAGTCGGTAATAAATAAGTTTTCATTTCAGTTGAGTAAATCAGTTCATAATTAGAAAGTCTTTGTGTTCAGTTCTGCCCAAGAATACCGTACCAATATGATTTCTCATGACATGTCATGACCTACTCTCATCACTGTAATTTTACCTATGAAATTTTCTAAGTGTAGTGGCAGAATTTGAAGCAGCCTTAGAGCAGCCTCAGAATTATACTCGTCGACTCGATATGCTATGTTCCGTGATACAACTCATGTTAGTTACGTCAAAGTGTGCTACTAAGATAATTTCACATTATTTAATTCTCTAATTATTTTGCATACTCACCTATAATATTTCCACTCTTCGGAGGCTTGGTCGGCGTATCCACTGCAAATCTAGTTTTCTGAGATTGCTTCTTATTGCTACTAGCAAAGTGTGGTGGACTAGGTGGAGAATAATCTGGAGGAGGTTCTGCAATAGGTTCCCTCAATTCTTTTCGATTCCTATTTTCTTCTATTCGAATATTTCTGAAACCGTTCTCATGCCTGAAAAAATCACACAAAAATAAGAGATTCGTTGTATGAAAACATAAAGTTGAATAGTTGATAGGCCAACGCAATTATCGATTTGCGTTCTGAATCATTTCTGATAGTTACAATATAAGTTCATCTTCTCTCCAATACGAACTCAATCAATAGATATTTCTAGTAACACACACAGGTATCGCGATACTGAGTCTTTAAAAAGCAGAATAAGTTGTTGGAACATGTGATGCAGGACAAGGTTAAATTTTTTCTTACAATTTTGTTTCGATTACCATTATTTCAAGAAGGAAAAATTCAATATCAATTTTGAATGTCATAAAAGAGTTTATCTGATGGCATGTCATAATGACAACGTTATGTCACTCAATTTTGATGACATAAGGAAGCTCATTATGGGACTAAGTACCATAATGAAATTCTATAAGGAAAACATGTAATGGTTTGATCAAAAAAGTTTATCCAAAATGCATAACTATGTACAAAACTATTTATTATAAATGGTAAAAGAACAATTACTACAATTTGTAATATTAATATAATGGCAAAGCACAGCTCACTCACCTACTAATATTTGAAACTACACAATACTTACTCCTTTAAAAATAGTTGTCATTGTGACATGTCGAAAATGCAGTTTTTAATTTTTCGAAAATGTATTGATATAAATGCCATCAGATAAAATTTTGTATGTAATACGAATCATAAACAATCATTATGGCACACGCCGTGTTATCGGACTCGGCTACGCCTCGCCCGATAACATTCACGACTTGTACCATAATGATCGTCTTTATGATCCTTCGGGCACTGAATGGCTTTCATTTCGACATCAATGGAGTCGAAAAACAGGAGTACAACAATCATCCTGTAACTCTTATCTCAGACTGTTCTCCAACCTCCCAATGATTCCTACATGCACCAGCATATTTCCGAACACTCAATATATGCCGCGGTGAAAAATAATGTGACAGAAGATTCTGGAATGTTCTGGAAACAATCAATGAAACAATTGAAAAGAGAGGTATTGTTCTAAGAAGCTTCTAGAACAAAAAGGAGGGTACGGAAGATCATTCGAGAACGTTCGAGAAGCAAAGCCTACCAAGGGATCTCATATATAAGGACGGCCAAACAACTGCAGTTAGTCAGTCAAGCAGCGAGTGTCAGAGAGAGAGTCATATACCGCGTGATATGAATCATTTTACATAAATAGTAGTTATAAATTCGATATGAAATAGTGTGCCATTAGTTAAAATAAATCAGTCCGAAAAAAAATAGTGTCGTGTTCGCTTCTGCACCCGAATAACGTAACAGTATATATATTTCACGAAATTGCACTCGAGTATTTTCTTCCTTCTCGCGACTCCATATCTAGGTGAAAATGTTAAAAGAAAGTTGCGAATGAACAAGTTATAGCACATTCATTGTCCTATGAACTGTGTTCAAATTTCTCAAACGAATTTGCATTGGAAAAATATATTTGGGGAAAAATAGATCTTATATTGATTTCTGCTGGTTTTCACAAGCGCGCCAAGGTCGAAAACTCCACATTAGAACACTGTTTGAGGAAAAACAAATCAGGAATTGAAACTACCAGAAAAATTCAGAATGCACCTTTGTTCGACGCTCATTGCTTTGGCCTGGATGATAAGTTCTACAGATTGTTGAAATAATTGTAGGAACCATCAGAAATGCTATCAATTTCAATTTTCCAATCCATTTTCAATAATATATTTCAATTTTCATTTTCTTTTTATTTCTATTTTTCAATTTTTTTGTGTATTCGTCCTTATGAAGGGTTGAACAGAGCAGGACCTACAGCTTATAGTGAAATTATTCTTAGGAAAAATGCTTAGCCAAGCCTGATTCGAATTTGGGCGCCTTTTAGACCGCTCAGATACCATGCCTATAGGTTACTCATGACAATATTTCAATTCTTGGTCAGTGTAGTATACTCATACTGTGATTTAATGAGGTCAATGTAAAATAGTGAGGCATATTATTTCCTCATTGTATAACAAAATATTTATAAACCTTCCTTGAGAATGATAGCATTTCTGATGGTTCCTACATACAAGCATCAGATAGGTCAATATTAATTGATAATCAAGTAGGCCTATGTAAAAATTACCCTCCTTATCTTGCAAAACAAATATTATGAATAACGGTGCGAAATATATCGAGATTCGCCCAGTAACACAAATAATAATATGAAGAATATAGCGGAGGTGACAATGTCGGCTTTGGCCTCCACATAAGAATGGTTCTATAGTAGGTATAAATAATGTGAGATAGGTCTGATTACTATAATTCTATAAAGTATAAACCGTGCAATATTTAGACTTTGCAGTTCGTCATAACATTGAAAAGATCTTGCTATGCCTAAATATATGTAGGTATAACTACTTCCAGCGACCAAAAGTAATCATAATCATCAGCCAGGTATAGCCGTTGCCATTTTTCGAAAAAAAAAAATAGGTAGGTACCTGGATGTCTCTTCGACAACCATATGTCTCTGTCGGTCGTTTTTCGTTCTTCGAGGTGGAGTAGGAGTGATATTGACATCTTTCTGTGGAGGTATTCGATATCTATACTCCCGATCCGGCGAGTGCGATGGTCTATAGTCTGGAACGGGCGAAGGTGAAGTTCGGTAGTCTGGAGAAGGAGAGTTGGCGGACTTATAGTCTGGAACAGGTGATTGACGACGATGGTGGTCAGTGGAGTAGGACGGGGATTGGTATGGCAACGGAGAGCGACGTTCGGTATACAGGTGTTCTTTGCGATTTTCCGACCACTCGCTGACTCCTGGAACAAAACGATGGCTTAGAATAGTTATTTTCCTCCAAATGACATTGAAAGTGGCTTTTTGATGAGACTTAACAGGCAGAAAAACGGTACTTTTACGGACTAAGCAGAAAAAGTTTGTTCCAAGAAATAATTCGAATCAAATTGGTAATCAAAATTGACACTGATGTTGGATGAACACAAAATGATGGATTATTTGGAGTTTGCGTGAAATTGGACGAATTTCCTTCCTAGCCTCGGATACGCCTTTGCTATGAAACGCCAGCCGCGGCATTAAATCTTGTGCTTTTCTGCCTAGTAAAACAAATAACTATTGTTTTACTAGGCAGAAAAGTACAATATTTAATGCCGCGGCTGGCGTTTCATAGCCTATGCGTAGCCGTGGCTAGGATACCAGCCAAGGCATTGCATCTTCTTTTCTGCCATGTGAAACATATAATTTTTTCCCCGAATTCTTTTCAATTTCACGCAAAATCCAAAATAATCCATCATTTCTTTTTCACCCAAAGTCATTGTCAATTTTGATTACCAATTTGATCCAAATTACTTGGAACGTTGCATGGCTACAATATTTTCCTGCATAGGCAGTAAAAGTACATCTTCTCCGCCTGTTAAGTGTCAGTGTCCACTTTGATCGTCATTTGGAGAATTTTTTTTTCACAGAGATTACATCGTAGGTTTTCTACAGTTTGGTCACGAATAAGGACTGTATCAGTGGAAACTTGCGGCGGTTCATAATAATATATAAATAGTCGTGAAGTTTCTAAAAGAAGGCAAGAAGATTGGATTCATGATCCTGCTTCTCAGAGAAGATTATAATTCACTATTTGTATCGAATAATGACAAGTGGATGACTGGCAAATAGCATCAATGGGCAAGTGGACTATTTTTCTGAAAGCTTTTATTTAACTTGCATTGTATGTTTGTATGGATGTATGTATATGTATGTATGTTCGGGTGGAATCTTTGAACTCAATTTTGATGTAGAAATCTTCAACCGATTGAGCTGGAATTTTGTATACACGTTCAGTTTGGATGAAAATGCACGATAAGGTGTGTCACATTATTTTAAATCCAATATGGCGGACTATCCAAGATGGCGGAATAGGTATTTTGATATACTTTCACAATATGGGTGGGTATCAAATGAAAAGGCTCGTTGAGAGTAACTCGAAAAATGGTGTAACGTTATTCTAAATCGAATATGGCGAACCATCCAAGATGGCGGAATGGTCATATTCAATTTACTCCTACCATATGGGTATCAAATGAAAGGGCTCGTTGAGAGTAATTCGGAAAATAATATGACGTTATTCTGAATCTAATATGACGGACTATCCAAGATGACGGAATAGCTATTTCCATATACCCCAAGTAGCACACTCATATTGGGCCGATATTGGACCAATATAGATGAACAATTGGCGCAATATCGAGAAATCAAGTAGGCACAATATTGGATCCAAACATTCAACATGCTATTGTAGATTGATATTGATTCGATGTTTCATAAAAAGATTGTTGAATCATTCAACAAAATATCTGAAATAATATTGATTTATAATCATCCTACAATATTGATTTGTTGATATGAAAAAAACAATGAAGTGCGTTGATTGAGAATCATTCATCATCTCTATATATGTAACTGATGGCTCATCGATATTGACCAACAATATAGTAGGTTGAAGATGAGCAATATTCTTGGCATCACCACGTAGTGATATATTATAAATATTGACACCAAATATAGATCAATAATGAGAAATAATCTTGTTATTGCATTCATGACTGATGTTGAGACTAATTGAAAAAAAAAAATATCGACACATATTCAAAAGAATGCTTCAAATTATATCAGTATCTTATATTCATACTATATAGTAACTCAGACATTGGGTAGGAATATGGACGGGTTATTTATTAACAATATCTCAAACATATCGCCAAGAAATATATATTCCGTATGAAATATCGGTATGCTTAGGTATTGATGGATGATATTCATGTTTCTATCAATCAAACGTTGATACAATATCTATTCATAATATTAACAGGAGATTCAAAACAAATATATACACATATTGAACAGTATGCTTGGAACAGAATCAATATAAAATATTCATAAAATATAGTTATGCGAATATTGGTTGAGAATATGTGGTGATCATTGAAAATTGATATTCAAGATATATTTAAGGAATATATAAATATTATATCCAACATCAATATGCTGGGATGATAGATGATCATATATGGAATAATGTCGTATTCGAAAGTTTATGGAACAATGATATTCCAATGTGGGGAGTGAATTGAAAAAAAATATTGACAAATATCAAAAATAAAGCTCAGAGCTATATCGAAAACTCATATATAGACAATATAGTTGAATAGATATTGTGATATATCTACAAAAACATATATCTTTCATATTGAACATCAGTATAATGTGATATTGATGGATCCCATTGAATAATGTCATAACTGGAAGTTGATACGAGATTGATAATGAATGAAAGTAGTATATTGACTACAAATATTGACACATATTTAAAATAATGTCGGAAATTATATCGATGGCCAATATTATTACATATATGTATGTGGATATTGGCGAATAATATCTAGTAGCTATTGAGAAAGAAGTCTACAGAAATATCTACAAACAATATCTATAACATATTGAACAGCGCCTTTTCAGGATATTGATAAATCATATTGATCATTCTCACACTTTGAAGTTGATACAACATTCATTTTCAATGCGCGAAAAATGTCGAAGTGAAATATACCTATATATTCAAAATATTGCCCTAAATTATATCTATGGTAGATATTCACACAATATCATCATCCAGATATTGAATGAGGATATAGAGTGGTTATCCAGGAACAATATCCACGATATATCTTCAAAAAATTGTTATTTTATATTGAACATTCACGATGATACGATATTAATGAATCATCACGATCAATCTCTCATTTATAAGTTGATACACCTTCGATTCTGAATGTAACGGATACATTGAAAACAAATATTGACACATATTCAAAATGATGCCAGAAACCATATCAATGGCATATATTCTTACAATATATATATACATATATGTAGATATTATCAGAAAATATCTAGTAGCATTTGAAAACGAATTTTCCAGAAACATCTACAAACAATATCTGCAACATATTGAACAGCACTCCACAAGAATATCAATGAATAATATTGATAGGGCATTATTACATTATATTGATTATTTTCACACTTCAAAGTTGATACAATATTTATTTCCAGTATTGGTAAAACGTTGAAGGGAAATTTACATTTATACAGTCTGTCCAAGATAAGGTTGAACAGCATGGGGATCTCGAAAACGGTAAGAGATACGAAATCGGTTAAAAAGGGAAAAAGTCGCGCATTCGGAGGCTCATATCAAGAGCCTTCGAAAATTTTGAAAATTATTTTTAGTTTTTGAGTTATATCGAAAAAAGTGAATTTTTGGAATTTCTATTTTATTTTTTTTCTCCGTTATTATTAGAGATACAGCAAAACTGAGAATACTTTTTCATAGCAACTTTTGATGACGGTCAACGTGGTGATACCGATTTTTTCATGCGACGTTTTGTATTTGTGGAACCATCATCAACTTTTGTTTTTTAAATACGGTCCTGATAATTTTTTCACAGATTCTAAAAGGTTTTTTCATTTTGAATTCAACCATGTATTATACAAGGTGGTTCATTTGTGTTTCGACCTATTTCCATCCATCATCAATGTTTTTTCGAAACTCCAAAGGAAAAATGCCATCAGTTCCACTTATTTTGAAGGAAAATTAGTCAACACACTAATACCTCATCAACTGGTTTCAATCAACAACCCATTTCATTTTGCGGAAACAAAAATTCCATCCATAAAAATTCAGAATATGTCAAGCGCTAAAACCAGGAGATGACGAAAGGCGCAAGACATCTTGTGAGTGGTATACCAGGAAATGTTAAAATTTTGCAGATTTCTTTCGAACAATCATCTGGACTGATGAAAGCATGGTCACTAATCATGGTAGCTTCGATAGAAAAAATACACATTATTGTTCACGAGAAAATGAACATTTATACATTACAGCGAGACACCAACACCGTTTCGGCTTTAATATGTGGGTTGCAATATTTGGTACACGAATTATTGTTCCTTCTATTTACCATGAAACACAGACTTCCGAACGTTATAGAAATTCGCTTGGGAATCATCTTGAGGAAGCTCTGGATGATTTACCGATTGCGGAAGTTCAGAACTCTGTTGGTTTCAACAAGATGGCGCTCCGGTACATAATTCCAGAGAAGTCCGTGCGTTTTTATCCCTTGGCTGGCGCGGTCGCCTGATTTAACACAGCTGGATTTTTCCTTAGGGGATATATCGAACTTTGTACACGCAAATAACTTCGAGGATGAAGAAGAACTAAGGGACAGTGTCTTCGAAGCATTCAATAGAATAACCCCAGAAATGCTTAGCAATGTCTTAGAAACAACTGTGAGAAGAGGATATCTTTGTTCAGAAAATAATGGTTATCATTTTGAACATTTGGTATGAATGTCTCTGTAGGTATTGTCAAAGTTAAGTTGTTAAAGTAATTCGTGTAAGAGTTCATCAACAATTTTGAACGCTGCATTGATCGACTGATGTAGTGAAATATTTTTTATTCACTTTTCAGTATTGAATAACTAATCTATCAAGTTTGACACTAAATGATAAGAAATAAGTGGAACTGATGGCTTTATTGATGATGGATAGAAATAGGTCGAAACACATTTGAATCACCTTGTATAGTACATTGTTGAATTCAGAATAAAAAAACCTTTCAGAATCTGTGAAAAAATTATCAGGACCGTATTTAAAAAACAAAAGTTGATGATGGTTCCACGAATACGAAACGTCGCATAAAAAATCGGTATCACCACGCTAAACCTCATCAAAAGTTGCAATAAAAAAGTATTTT